GCGAACGCACTCGGCGGCTGCTCGCCATGGACAGGACCCAGCGCTCCAAGTTCTGCCTCGTCCTCCTGCTGCTCGCGGTGCTGCCTGACTGTGCGCGGGGGACGCCCTGCGCCTGGGGGCGCGGAGGTGAGTTCCTATGGGGTCTCAGCAGCGGCGCAGGGAGCTGGGAGGGAGGCAGCAGAGGCTTTAAACTCAGAGCCCGTGGCAGGTCCAGAACCTTCCCTCCTCCGTCCCCTCCACGGGCTCAGTCCCCCCTCGGCATCTGGGCAGCTGGTTGCCTCCCGGGCAGAAGGGACAGAAAGAGGCGGCAGGAGAGAAGGTGATGCGGGGCCACTGGCCGGGAGCGAAGGAGGAAAGGACGCTGCGGTCCCCAGGCCGCTCTCCCGCCCGCCCCGGTCGTGCTTCTGGGGAACTGGGACCCCTTTCCCGGGACCCGGGCGCTTCTCAGACTCGGGACCACACAGACAGGAACGCCCTGTTCTCAGGGCACGTTCACCCAGCCCTGCATCACCCAACTCTCTCCACCTCTGAACTTTCTGGGCGCTCTGCCAGCAGATCCAGGAGCTGTTGCAAATGTCACCAGCGCGGATGTCTTAACCGGCCACTTTTCTGCAGACCCAGCTCTGCAGGTTCTACCTCTCCCCACTCTGCACCAGCCAGACTGTCCCACTCCTGTTCCCTCGGGAGCCCCTGCTCCCCTCCCCAGGTTTATTACCCAATTGCTTGGCATCCCCAAAACCAGTGCTTCCAATACCTTTTAATCCGTGACGTGAGCCTAATCACTCCTCAGCCAAGTGGCACTTTGCCTGTCGCCTGAGCACACACCAGCCATAGCCTCAGCTCCTGGAGCAGGTGGGACAGCAGCGCATTTTCCCAAAGTATGACCCTGGGTGCTCCTAACATAGAGCACCTAGACCTGTGATTTATTATGTTGACATGCCCATCCCCAAGACTACTGGAAGCCATTTTGGGGAACACCAACTCCACCCACATTCCTGATCTTCAGCTAAAGTCATCAGTGAGCTTTGGAGAATTCTGGTGTCCTTCTCATCCATGCTTTCCTCTTTCCCTTGATAAACAAGAGTTTAGCCTTAGGCTTTCCTAGGAAGCATGGTTGATTGGACACTTTTCTGCCTTTTCATATTATCTCCACCTGGGATATTCACTTATCTGAGCCATCTGGTCCCATTCCTCTCCTATGTGCCTCAGAAGTTCTGGCTTTTCTGTTCCACGCATTGTAGCCATGCCTTCTCCCAAGCTTGCAAGATCTATCCCAGCAGCAAGTTAGCACTACAGCCCTGAGCCATGTAAAATCCCATGACCCATAATTGTAAAGTCTCCCTTCTCCAAGCTTGGAATGAATCCAAATTCCTCCACCTGCCACCTAACTTCTCCAGCAGCAGCCCCTACATGCTCTCCATTTCCCTGGAGAGTACTGGGCTAGTTTCTGACAATCCTCAGGCATCTAGAACTATCCTCCGAGCCACCTGGCATGTCCCTGCATTGGTTATGTTGTTATGATCAGAATTATCTCGGTAAAAGCAGGGAGGATGTATGTGGAGATGTGCGGTTTCCTGGCAGGCAGATGCCTCCTGGACCTCCTCAAGCAAGAGGGGCACCAACCTTCCCCTGGTGAAGGGAGGCACTGGGCAGGGTCAGGCCTACTCTGCCAGCCCAGCCATCAGGGGGATGGTCTTGCTGTCACAGAGATGGGGGAGTGGGTGTTTTGGGTCTTTTTCTTCCAACCCCAATCCTCAGCAGCATTTTTCGTTCACAGATTCTCACACTCTTCGCTATAATTTCAACATTTCCTCTCATAAACAACCATGGTGCATGGTCCAAGGACAGATGGATGGAGAGAAGTTTCCCTTATATGACTGTGGCAGCAAAGAGGTCATATCTATGAATCTCCTGAGGGAGGAGGGAAAGGCCATGGATTCCTGTAAAGAAGAGTTAGGTACCCTGAGTGACATGGGAAATGAATTAAAACCATTGCTGCCTGACATTAAACAGGAGAAAGACACAGATGGAGGTAAGTTTGAAAAACCAAGGGCAGAAGTGAGCAGAGTGTGGGGCCAGCTATGTGGATTGTATTCATTTAAAAAGAAAACTAGAAAACTGGACTTCCCACGTAGCCCAGCAGAAAGGGCAGGGAGGGCAGGGCAGGGTTAGAAGTGTTCAGAAGAGGTGGACGCCAGGTGGGTGAAGCATTTGTCAAGACCAGAGGCTGATGTCTTTCCCATGGGGACTGTGGGGCAGCTCCTCTCCCCCTGCAGGTCAGGATGACGTGCCTGTGCAAAGCCGATGGAAGCACCAGTGGATCCTTGGAGTTTTCCTTGGGTGGAGAGAGGTTCCTTACCTTTGACTCTGAGACAGAAGAGTACAGAGCGGATAATTCCCTAGGTGAACGGCTGAAAAAGAAGTGGGAGAATGATAAGGAATTGAAGAAATTCTTCAAAATGACCTTAAAGGGAGACTGCAAGGAATTGCTTCAATGCTCGGTGCACTGGAAGAAAGAGGTGGCGACAACAGGTAACAGGGGAGACAGGGA